GAAAGTTATTGTATGAAATATCAATACTTGTTTCATGCCCAGTAGACATATAACAGTTTATTTCACAGCAGGGATTTGTGAATAGGTATAGATTAAAAATGCTTTATTAGATGAACTGATATTTACGCTCGTAATGCATTTCCAGTGACGCTGCAGCTGCCGCTGTCGGCCAGCAGTTCCAGCAGCAAAGGCAGTATGACACTGCCGTCCGCCTTGCCACTCCCGGATACTTCACACAGGGTGGAAGCTTCACCTCAGCTTCCTTCCAAAACGCAAATGGCCGACTGCAAGGCGACTCCTTCCAGAACACTTTCCAGACTGCCACTTCAGACGCCAACACCTTCCGTCAGTCTGGACTCTTCCAGAACAGCAACCAGCTCCAGAGGAATGCTGCCACCAACCGCAACCAGTTCCAGACTGGTTCCTTCCAGCAGAACTCCTTCGACTCCAACGCCTTCCAGCAGAACACAAGTCCATTCCAGCAGAACTCAACGCTCAGTCTGCCAACAGCTTCTTCCAGTCAGGTTCCAGTCAGTTTGGTTCCGACAACCGGTTCCAGACCAACGCCAATCAGATTAATTCCGGAAGCCGATTCCAGTCCGCCAACCAACAGGACAACTCTTTCCAGTCCTTCGACAACCAAAGGAACTCTGCCCACATTCTCCACATTCAACAACCAACAGAACCTTGGTGGTCAGTTCCAGCAACGTTCCTCTAGTGGTTTCCAGTCAGGCTTTAATCAGCAGGATTCCAACAACCAATTCCAGTCTAGTTTCAACAACCAGAATTCCAACGATCAATTCCAGTCCACCTTCAACAACCAGAATTCCAATGATCGATTCCAGTCCACCTTCACAACCAGAATTCCAACGATTCCAGTCCACCTTCAACAACCAGAATTCAACAATCGATTCCAATCCACCTTCAACAACCAGGATTCCAACCGTTTCTCTCAGAACTCTCAGACCAGCTCCTTCCTTCAATCCTCCAGCGACTCCGTCAGCGGAGTCTTCGAGCCTCTGAACCTTCCTCCGGCGCCAGTGCCTTACTGGAGGCATCACCAGCGCCTTCAGCTGCCTCGACCGTCCCTACGGCTACTACGCTGACCAGGACAACTCGTGCCGTGTTTTCCACGTGTGCAACCCGACGCTCTTCTCCAACGGCGCCGTCGAAACCTACCAGTACAGGTAAGTGACCTCATTATCCATACAGTTAACAGAAATTGTAAGAAAACTACCACAGAACTACCTGCAATGTTGAATAGTCTTTCAAAGCGTATAGGAAAAATAAAGGAAAGCATTTGTGTACAAAGTAATATTTTGCTTTATTGAGCATTTTCAAGCACCTGTCTTATGTTTCTCTGCACAGCTTCATGTGCGGCGAGGGTTCGGTGTTCGACCAGAAGGAGCTGACCTGTGTGGCAGAGTCGTCCGCCATCCCCTGCCAGGAATCCTCCAACTACTTCTACACCAACGAGCAGTTTGGACGCCCCGAAGATAAATCTTTTTAAGAGAATCAAAGACTAACCTTTACAAAGACGGATTATTTTGTTCTTGCGTAGTACAAGGAGGAAGCTTATCTGTACCTTCAGTATATGAAGTGTATTTTCCAATAAATTAACCAAAGAAATGCTGTTTCATCATTTTGAGCACGCACCTCTGTATTGTGAAAACAAAGCCAGAGAGATGAGAATGTCAGATGAGACGATAAGTACAAGGAAAATTTTCATTTCTGTAAACTTATTTTGTAAAAGTAATAAATTCTAGCGTTACAGCATAAATAAAACGGTGCTTAATATATATTATATTATATATATTATATATATATATATATATATATATATATATATATATATATACATACAATAAGAAATGAATAAATAATTCTTTTCAGCAACCTATTTCCCAGGAAACGTGACAGAATGTCCATCCTTCACTGTTGCAACAACACTTGAGTTCCTTACGGTTGTTACTTAACCAGCTTCGTCGTAGGGAATAGGCTTGGAAACAGCAAACACTGCAATGAAATTGATTTTGTACACACACGTGTTTGTTTACATACAGTATATATCTGCATCAACATCTATTCTTATCTATATCTATATCAGGTATTGATCTATCTATCTATAGTGTATGTAAGTGTGATTGCACGAATGTGTGCCGACAGATTTAGATACATAAAGCAATTACTATAACTTGAATTGTCTCACGCCCGGTTCATTCTTCATAGGTATGCCAAAGATCATGAATGAATATGTTTCTTTTGCTTTAAACTCAGATGTCGCCACTACCGCCTATAATCAGACATTTTCAGAATCAAATTACTACTGAAAGTACATGGATTTCCGTGAACAACTTGAAGCGTTTCAGTGGTCGTTGTCCTGCGTGTTAGTTTAGAGGGTTTGTGAAACGGACGAGCAGATTGCGGTGCTGCAGGTCCAGTATTAGTAGTCCTTTCTCGCTATCAAAGATTAGTTGTTTACGAATTTCAATAGATCTATTTTTTGGTCTACAAGAGGTGCAAACACTTTATGAATGTAAATATATATATTAATATATATATATATATATATATATATATATATATATATATATATGTATATATGCATGTATATATACATACACACATATGTGTACGTGTGCATGGCCGAGCGCCTATGTTTATGAGTTAATGCACGTAAATATACATACATACATATATATATATATATATATATATATATATATATATATATATATATGTGTGTGTGTGTGTGTGTGTGTGTGTGTGTGTGTGTGTGTGTGTGTGTGTGTGTGTGTGTGCATTGACCATGCACACACAAAAATGCATTTATCTTTATACATACATACATAATATACACTCAAATACTTATATTACACACAGTATATATACATATATATGTATATACCTATATATACATATATGCATACACACATGTGTGTGTGTACATTATACACATACATTATCTTTATACATACATACATAACACACAAATGTATATTCATATGTGTGTTTGTGCAAACGCGCGCCTATGTGTTTATGTGTTCTTGTACGTAAATAAATAAATATATACATGTGTGTATACATATATGTGCGTGTGTGTATTTGTGTGTATATACATCATACAAACATATCTTTATCTTTATCAATACATAATACGTAGATACACATACACACAGACACAAATATATATATATATATATATATATATATATATATATATATATATATATTATATATATATATATACATATATACACATTCATATATATATATATATATATATATATATATATATATATATATATATATATATATATATATATATATATATATATGCGTGTTCTCATTCACAAATGACAGTTATACACGATATTTAATGAGAAGCAACAATATTGGTTCCTATCAATCACAATCATATCAATTTCAGTTCGTACAAACCAAGGATACTTCGCATCTATACCATGGCGCTGTATTCTTAAGCTTAGTGTTGCATCAGTCTAATCCATTAAAACGCAAGCTATCATAGCGTGACAAATAGCCGGCCTGCTCCTTTCTCCCCTGCCAGGACCTGCCCCGACCTCTGACAGTGAGTGTCCCGCCCTTCACAGCCGGACTATATAAGGACGAGGCATAGCACACAGGTCATAGTCGGACGCACCCCTCCGCACGCCACAGACATGAAGGTTCTCGTTATTGGTGAGTTGGGAATGGTTTTCCTTATTTCCTGAAAGTTATTGTATGAAATATCAATACTTGTTTCTTGCCCAGTAGACATATAACAGTTTATTCACACCAGGGATTTGTGAATAGGTATATCGTCTTCCTTTTAGATTTAAAAATGCTTTATTAGATGAACTGATATTTACCCTCGTAATGCATTTCCAGTGACGCTGGCAGCTGCCGCTGTCGGCCAGCAGTTCCAGCAGCAAAGGCAGTACGACACTGCCGTCCGCCTTGCCACTCCCGGATACTTCACACAGGGTGGAAGCTTCACCTCAGCTTCCTTCCAAAACGCAAATGGCCGACTGCAAGGCGACTCCTTCCAGAACTCTTTCCAGACTGCCACTTCAGACGCCAACACCTTCCGTCAGTCTGGACTCTTCCAGAACAGCAACCAGCTCCAAAGGAATGCTGCCACCAACCGCAACCAGTTCCAGACTGGTTCCTTCCAGCAGAACTCCTTCGACTCCAACGCCTTCCAGCAGAACACAAGTCCATTCCAGCAGAACTCAAACGCTCAGTCTGCCAACAGCTTCTTCCAGTCAGGTTCCAGTCAGTTTGGTTCCGACAACCGATTCCAGACCAACTCCAATCAGATCAATTCCGGAAGCCGATTCCAGTCCGCCAACCAACAGGACAACTCTTTCCAGACCTTCGACAACCAAAGGAACTCTGCTTCCACATTCTCCACATTCAACAACCAACAGAACCTTGGTGGTCAGTTCCAGCAACGTTCTTCTAGTGGTTCCAGTCAGGCTTTAATCAGCAGGATTCCAACAATTCCAGTCTTCAACAGATTTCCAGTCTTCAACAATTTCCAATTCCAGTCCACCTTCAACAACCAAGATTCCAACAATTCCAGTCCACCTTCAACAACCAGAATTCCAACCGATTCCAGTCCAACCAGATTCCAACCGTTTCTCTCAGAACTCTCAGACCACCTCCTTCCTTCAATCCTCCAGCGACTCCGTCAGCGGAGTCTTCGAGCCTCTGAACCTTCCCTCCGGCGCCAGTGCCTTACTGGGAGGCATCACCAGCGCCTTCAGCTGCCTCGACCGTCCCTACGGCTACTACGCTGACCAGGACAACTCGTGCCGTGTCTTCCACGTGTGCAACCCGACGCTCTTCTCCAACGGCGCCGTCGAAACCTACCAGTACAGGTAAGTGACCTCATTATCATATATAATCAATACAATATATGAAAACTCCAGCAAATGATTTGAGAATATTTTGCTGAGCATTTTTCAAGTATCTAAATCTATTGTTTCTCTTCACAGCTTCATGTGCGGCGAGGGTTCGGTGTTCGACCAGAAGGAGCTGACCTGTGTGGCAGAGTCGTCCGCCATCCCCTGCCAGGAATCCTCCAACTACTTCTACACCAACGAGCAGTTTGGACGCCCCGAAGATAAATCTTTTTAAAAGAATAAAAAAACTATCCTTTACAAAGTCAGATAATTTGTTCTTGATCTGCTACATAGGCAGGAAGTTAATTAGTAACTTCATCAGATGAAGTGTATTTTCCAATAAATAAACCAAAGAAATACAGTTTCATCATTTTGAGCAAATGCCTAACAATAATGAGAAATAATGAAATCAAAACCAAGGACTTCTTGATGCGGCGAACAATTGCTGGGCAGAATTATTCCATTTCAGCAATTCATTATCATGAGATTATGTAAGTGATAAAATCTTTCAACTGTACAACAAGAAAAACATACTTTTCACAAAATTGGTTCTTTCAGTGAGTTACTTCCCAGGAAACGTGACAGAACATCCATCTGTTCCCCTTCTGCAGCAAAACACAGGTGTTTACTTCGGGTGTTGTTTAAGCAGCTTCAGTGTAGGGAATAAGATTAAAAACAGCTGGAACGAAAGTGATTCTATATGCACACTTTGTTTATATACAGTATCTATCTATATTCAAATCTATCCTTATTTATCTTATCTATCTTTTATTGATCTATGTATCAACAGTATGTGAACGTGTGATGTCTATGTGCACACAGATGTAGATACATAACGAAATGAATAACTTAATTGGTTCATGTTCGGTTTGTTTGCATGGTAAGCTTGACATCAACACTGATAACATTTCTTTGATTTCTATCTGAAAAATCAGCACCATCTTCTGTAATCAGACTTTTTAAAGATTTAAATTGTTAATAAGAAGTTTCGTGAACGACTTTAAGGACATTTTAGGTTCGTGGCCCTGCTTTTTCGTTTTGAGGAATTGTGAACGGACGAGAGGACTGCGCTGTGACACTAGTCCAACGCTGTCGAATAGACCTCTGTCACAGTTAGATAAATTAATTGCTTACCTATTTCAAAGGATTTTTTTGTCTTCAAGATTACAGACGTTTATATATATATATATATATATATATATATATATATATATATATATATATATATATATATATATATATGTGTGTGTGTGTGTGTGTGTGTGTGTGTGTGTGTGTGTGTGTGTGTGTGTGTGTGTGTGTGTGTGTGTGTGTGTGTGTGTGTGTGTGTGTGTGTGGTGTGTGTGTGTGTGTGTGTGTAAGTAATGTATATATAATGTGTATATATACAATGTATAAATGTGTGTATGTAAGTGTGCGTGTGTTGTGTATATATGTGTGCACATAAATAAATACATATATATACATTATATGTATACATATACTTATATATACACATATATGTATGTGTATGTATACAGATGCATACCTACAAATATATATATATATATATATTATATATATATATATATATATATGTGTGTGTGTTGTGTGTGTGTGTGTGTGTGTGTGTGTGTGTGTGTGTGTGTGTGTGTGTGTGTGTGTGTGTAGGCATGCATATACACACACATATATACATTTATATATATATATATATATATATATATATATATATATATATATAATATATATATATATATATATATATATATATATATATATATATATATATATATGTATATAAAATATACATGTATACACACATATGTGTATTCAAATACATATACATACATATGTATATATATGCATATATGTATGTATATATATATGTATTATCACACACACACACACACACAGATTTATACATATATTTATTTATATATATATATATATATATAATATATATATAATATATATATATATATATATTAATATACGGGGAGAGAGAAAGACACATGCATATATACATCTACCTATATATATATATTATATATATATATATATATAATATATATATTATATATATATATATATATATATATATATATAATACATATACAAGTATATACACATTTATACATAAATGTATATATATTCATTACGTGGTATGTTATGAAATACAACACATATTATATAAGCATATATACTACATATACATTTATATATATAATATATATATATATATATATATATATATATATATATATATATATATATATACATATACATACATATGTATATGTATATGTACAAACACACATATGTTTATATATATAGTATATATGTTTTCATACATATGCAACTATGTATACAAACTAGGGTTTTAACACGTGGGGTAAAGAGGCAGCATTTGTACTTTCATATTGGGTCGAAATCACGAAAATGATTGGGGGAGGGGCTAAACATTCTCATCCTTATCTACACTTATCATTGCCTGTCACAATCATATCAAAGACTATTTTTCAAACAAACCACGGCCACGTTAAATCTATATTCATGGCGCTGGAATTCTTATGCTTGATGTTGTATTAGTCCATTCCATTCAAAACGCAAG